GTAGAAGTTGTAAGTCTCAGTGTAAGTAGCAGTCTCAATTTTGAGGTAGAAAAATTATTTTATTCTAATATTATTTTACAACATTTATTATTTTTTTATATTATTATTAAGAACAAAAACAATGAAGATTCCCCACAGAGGTATGCTAAACAAAAAATGCATGTCATTTACTGAATTTTAATTGGGGAAAAAAATTATAATAAAGCACCTCTGTTCAGTGTTCTTGTGATTTCAGTGTCATTTAAAATTGACTGATTTAAAATAAAAAATAAAATAAATCTATCAGCTATGACTTTGGAGACTGTTCAAAATGCTAACGGGCCGTTTTTATTATTATTTAATTAATTTTTAAAGTCTTTCTCTTTACATTAATCTACATTCTTTACCCTATACAATGACAAAGCAAAAAAAAAAAGAACAGAATTGCGATGACTGCAAATTAATATTAATAATAATAATAATAATAATAAAATAAATAGTTGCATTGCATACTATGACTTGTCTATTGTCTTGTTACTGATACTGTTTATTCTATTTCCAGGGCTAAATTTTAACAATGGGTAACAAGACACCATCAAGAAACAATTCAGGATATCTTAAAGAAATAAACAAAACAACAATATTCAAACAGGAACAGCCCCAAACCTGGTGTTGCTGTTGTGAAAAACAGGTGTCATACAGAATTCCAGCTCTCGTCTATCTCAGTGTCGACCAAACCTTCCTTGCCTTTGCTGAAAAGAGAAAAACATTAAGTGACACAAACGCAGAAGTGCTTGTGCTGAGAAGAGGAACATGGAAGGATGCCAAGAATCAAGAAGTTGAGGTACAAAATAATTAAATATTATTCATTACAGTTTTCTTAACAACTTAACTATTTCAGAGATGCTTTACACAGCCTGGCATGAACACAGTCATGATGCTTTTATATTTCAGTGGGACAGTGGTCATCAGGTGCTCTCTTCAGCTTGTCTACCAAACCACCGCAGCATGAATCCATGTCCGGTCTATGAAAGAGAATCCAAGACCCTCTTCCTGTTTTTTGTCTGTGTTCCCACTCGAGTCTCTGAATATGAACAAATACGGACAAACAAGAGCCAGGGACGACTTTGTTATGTAACCAGTACGGATGCTGGCAAAACCTGGAGCCATACTATAGACTTGACAGCAGATGTGATCGGTGAGCAGATGAAAGAATGGGCCCCATTTGCTGTTGGACCAGGACATGGTTTTCAAATGAAGAGCGGAAGACTGATTATCCCAGCATATGCTTATCGTTACACAGGTAAACCTGATTGCATGTCATGCTGCTGCTTATCGTTTTGCTGTTTCACACCGAATGCCTTAGCATTCTACAGTGATGATCAAGGAATCACATGGAAGGTGGGGAACCAAATGGATGTTGAGTCGTGTGAGTGTCAGATGGCTGAGATCATTGACGAGAAAGGTATGAGTACTCTGTACTGCAATGCCCGAACCCGCCTTGGCTACAGAACGGAGGCGCTAAGCTACAACTCTGGAGATGATTTTGGCACAGTTTTATACCCAAACAAGCTGATAGAGACCGGAAAGGGATGCCAGGGGAGTGTGTTGAGTTTTCTAGAACAGAGTAATCCTCCAAAGACATGGTTGCTCTATTCCCATCCGTCTAATCCAAAGAAAAGAGTGGATCTTGGTCTCTACTTGAATAAAACCCCACTGGATTCCTCAGGGTGGCCAGATGCACCTTTAATGTTATTGCATCATGGTCCCAGTGCATACGCAGATCTGGTAGAGCATGAGCCTGGACGCTTTGCTTGTCTCATGGAGTGTGGAAAGGAACATGAGAATGAAGAAATAGCCTTTTTGCTGTTCGAACTCCCTGTGAAAAAGCTGTAAAAGTGTTCATTTTCTTGTAGTGTTAGTACCTGCAAATGAATACATCTAATCACGATAAATCCATATTTTCTCTGTTTTTGTAGATGAAAACTGCTTCTATAAATACTGATTTGGAAACTGGGGTAGATATGGAACCAAACAAAGGCATTGTATATACAGATTATCATAATATATTATGATATATAATATATATTATCATAATAGTCATTTTCAGCAATTTAGAAGGTATGTATTATATATAATTCTTGAACAGATCTAACGATTACACATTAATTTTATATAATAGACAATTTGATGAATATATTGATTTTTATCTCTGATTAACGCTAAATGTAACTGCTTTTGATGCATTTGTGGCAGAGATATTTAAATAAACTTTCAAATGAACATGGTGTGTCCTTATTTTAAAAAGTTATAAATATCACATATTGATCACTTCTGCTCTGCATACTTGTCAGTAAAGTCCATTGCCAACACAACAGCATGCCCCTATATATATTTTGTTTTGTTCAAGATTTTGTTCCCAAAAAAAAATAGGTTATATTAGAGTCTTGCTGTACTAAAATCTAGCATTTTAAACTGTGTAGAAAACACTAACATTCAAAAGCATCTCAGTTTCTCATGAGATATGTGCTGTACCACGACTAAAGGTCAGTAGAAAAACCTTTCCCACCCAAAGGAAGTATCTGATGATAACAAACCTTGGAGTCCTGCCTGGAATGCAGGGGCTTCACCCTTCTGCCTGCCCAAAATAATAGTACTGTGTATGATGTAGAACTTTTTCTAAACATGTTTTCTGAAAGGTTTTTTTATGCGCCTTTTTACAGTGTTCTTCAATGTGATTTACTGTACATTAGGAATTTTTTTAGAGGGCTCCAGACAAAAAAATCACTTAAGAAGCCATTGGCTCCTATAAGAAACAAAATTAGACACCAAATTATTTTTTCTAAGTGCCACAGAATAAACATGTTTTATTTATTTTTCTTTAACATTTCAGTCATACTGTCATGTGTTTATGTCTCCCCTCCTTTTACAGCATCAGCATTTTAATCCATCTTGTAGATGTCTTGGGAACTAGGTTCACTTAGTTCCCAAGACATAAGTGGGAACTATACGTCTTTTACAAATTCAGAACTATAGACAGTCACAAAGAATTGTTTATTACACAGAATATGTGCCAATATCACGGACCATAACTATGTCAACATCATTTGGCCATTGAGTGCAGTTTGGGCTCCTCCTCAATGCATCCTGAAAATGTTGTATGTCTTGCACACATTCAGTCTGTTTTTCTTCATTAGTAACATGCAATTATATAGGGAGTTTAGAATAAAGGGCCCACGCACTTTTGGGGCCCCCAGACAGGGTGCGAACTACGGGGGAGCTAGGGGGAGCTAGGGGGAGCTCGGCTCCCCTTAATAAGACATGGGCTCCCCTGAAAACGGG